GCTGTCGCCGTCCCTGAGCAATCCTTCGCGACCAAGCTTCCTCGCGTTCGTTGCCGTTCTTCATCGTAGCTTGCCTTCGCTCGCATATTATGTTCTTCCGCCTCTTACCTCCGTTTTGTCGATCTTGTTTTCGGTACGTCTTTTTTTTTCCTCGGTCTTTCACAAAACTCATTCGCCTCTTCCTTCTATATCCACCGATTCGGAATTTGAGGACGTGAAGGAACCCGGATGTGAGGCAAGTTTCTGGCTTTTCTTTGGGAAAGATCGAATCAAGTGCGATATCAGAAGGATCTGGCAGCCACAGATCTGATCCTTGCTTCGGGTACTGAGCAGGTGTGTTGGTGGCATTCTTGGTCTCTCCAGGTCACGTATGGGGTTGTGGTTTCGACAGTGGTGGACAATCAGTGGAGATTGGAGTTGTTGTGATTGAGTTGATTTTGATCGGCTCTGGTTTTGGCTGACGAATACTCGGAGCGAAGGCTGAACATGGGAAAGTGAGTGGTAATGCTGGCCCGTGTGATTCTGAGAGCCCGGATTGTGGTGGTGGCTGGTTTGTGGTTGAATCTGCCTTGGGTGGTAACTGTGTAGACAGAATTGTCTTGCTATTGTTGAAGGAGGACGTCGTTTCCAGGGATGTCAGCGCCGGTGAAAGTGTAGGCAGTCTAGGCTTTCGCACCATTGAGTTGGCTGTGTATGGACCATCACCAAGGGCTTCCATAACTAAGAAATAGTCTGCAAAGTTGTCGCTGCCGATAAGCTCCATCGATATCATCGTCATCTCTTGAGTTCGACTCTCAATGAAAGCACCAATGATATGCCCCTAATATCAGTGAAGGATTAGAGACGAGAACCACACTCTTCGAGTGAGTGCAAACTCCAGAAAACATAGAGAAATGAAGGCCAGAGACGAAGACGAAGAAGAGAAGAAACATAGGAATGCAGAGGAATGTCGTTTGAGATATTATTTCTGTGATAAAAAACTTTCAATCATCTGGTATCATTCTTATAGGCTTTCCTAGATTCACACAAACCAATAGGCTAGGCATAACCGAATAACAAACTCCAAAACAGAATTGCAAGAAACGAAATACAAAGAAAAACTGAAAGTGCAGGGATCTTCAACAATCCCAAGAATTCCAGCTTGCTAGTGAAGACGACAGATCTTCTTCCCTTAAACGACATAGTCGTTTAACCACACAGGTGGCCTTCTTACATGGGCTGGGCCTTTGACAGCTTGGTCCATGGGCTGGACGAAGGCTGGGCTTCCATTGGGTTGACCATCAGGTTCTCGTTCTCCTGCCTGCTCAAAAGGTTCGGGTATGGGCGTATCAGTACCACACAGAGTTATGCGGTACTTTCCTTTGAAAGATCGTTTGAAATAACTTTACAGTTCTCATCATACAGCTGAACTGATGACATGGCATGAATAAAACAAATCGACGTACGAAGCTATGCATCATCCGGTTGATGGGCTGAATGGAAGGAGTTCAATGATTGTCGTTGTTTAAAACAAATTAACGACGAATTATTTAAAAAATGCATATTTTGAAATAAATAGTCGCTAAATATTAATCAATAAAACATTGACGGGACAAATATGATGAAATACAACGACAAAATTTCATCGTTGTGTAGTACTATTTAGCGATGACTATTTATCGTCTTTAAATCCATTTTCAGCAACGATTATGTAGTGATGATTGATTGCTGACGGCATGTCATCATTGATTACTTTCCAATGACGACTAGCGTATTATTAGCGATAACTTTTGTCGTTGCTAAACAACCAATTTCTTATAGTGTTTTAGACATAATTAAAAAAATGAAATGAATATTATTGTCCTCAGGCAACCAACAAAAACACTAGTTGAGAGCTCGAGAATGCAATTACCAATTCAAGAAAGCGATTAACAACATGAATGACGAAATGAATGTAACAACTAAGCAAAATCCAAAAGGAAAGGCCGTAGAAAAAACAAAGAAAAGAAAAATTGGAATCAATGTTGACCTAGATAGTAGTTAGAGGTCAGATTTTAAGTTGGAAATTATATGAAAAATGTGGATTATAATTTTCCACCTAAATTTAGACGGAAAATCAAAATCATTTTCATTAAGATTATTTTTTTTTCTCTCTCTCTTTGTTCTTCTTCTTCACGTCTCTATCTCTTTTTCTTCACTTCTCACTCCTTACTTCTCCCTCTCTATCTCTTGCTAGCTCTTCTTCTTCTCCTCCTCCTCTCACTCTCTCTCTCTTTCCTCTCTCTCCTCCATACATTCCAACTTTGAAACAGGGCCTAAGAGCTGAGGAGAGAGAAATGTAGTCATTGGTATTAAACCAAAACTCAATTGTAGAGTCCATATAGAAAACATACCACGAATGCACAGAGAAAAGATGGCAGTGTAGCGATTGGAGAATGGCGCAATGTGCGTAGAACGACGATATGATGACACTATGTCGGGAGAGGAGAGGAGATTATACGAGAGATTGAGAAAGAAGAATTGAGAAACTTCAGGTATGTTTGGTACGAGGATTCTCAAAGTTTGAACAATAATTTAAGTTCAAATTAGTATTTATTTATAAAAAATAAAAAAATGATTTGTATCCGCTCAAACAAAATTAGTGTTTGGTTTAAAAAGAAAAGATTTCAAGTTTAAATCCTAACGTGATATTTTAACCCTGCTGACCCCAAAAAATAAAACCATCATTCTCCTTGGTTTTGGCCAATTTGAACACCATATTTAGGTGTCGTTCATTTCACCGATTCGAGTTTTCAGTTTTAGGTTTTTACAGTAAAATGCTCTTAAAAAATGTCACATCTAACTTTTTCTGCTATAATAAAAAGCTCTAAAAAAATATCACATCTCAGTTCGAATTAAAAACTCGAATCTATGAAGTGAACGATGCCTTAAACTATACACAGTTCAAACTTAAAGATTCATGATTTAAACTCTAAGTGCAAATCTCATAATTTAAAACTCACATAGTTCAAACTCAAAAGGTTCAAACCATCCTGATTTAAATCCTAATTTTGAGCATACCCTTCGATATTTGGAGAGGAAAGAGGACGGTGGTGGAATGCCGAGCAACAAGAAATTCTGAGAGGAGAGGAGTGGTGATGAAATGTCGAGTGTGGCCCTGGACATGAAGCGAAATGTCGAGCGTGCCCCTAGAGCAGAAGGGAAACGTCAATATTGACATTATCTAGGCGGGAAAGTAAGAAAACCTATGGCTAAACGTCATCGTAATCCTCAAATTCTTTAGAGTAAGAAAGTAACCCATGGAATTTGTGTAATTAATCCATTTATTTTTATTTTATCCTTTGAAATGATTGGTATGGAATGTTACCTTTTTTATTACAAATTACCCTTTCACTGCTTCCTCACATCTTTAATAAGAATCATTAATGGGCCAATTTTTGTGACCGAAATAGCAAAATATTACTATTTATAATGGTATTTATCTTTTTTTTTTCTCTTTATTTTGTTGCAACATAAGAGTGCCAATGGTGCTTTTTTTTTTTGAACAATTCACGATAATTCAAAATTTTCCTAAAGAAAAATGGAAGAGACTGTTTGGTTTTGGATTTGAAACCAAATTTAAGATACAGAAAAACGAAAAGAGGTGAGCAATACTTGTTTGGTTAGTGTTTAAAAAAAAAATCAAAGAAAACATATTTCTTAAACACTCTCTAAATGATTTTAAACGTAGATAAAAGGGTCGGAGACCAAATTTAATCCTTAAATAGAGAGGAAATGAGAGGAAGAGAAAAGAAGTCTGAGTCTTGGCCGGAGTTCTGGCACCGCCCATGGGCATGTCATCAAACTCCTGGCCCTAAAAATAGGTCTCCGGTCTCATCTCGTAAAGGGTTCTTGTACGGGGGTGATAGTGTGTCATGGGATGGCTTTGTTATAGGATGGATTTGACAATATTTACAAGTTGAAAATTGGACGTTTGAGAGGCTTTTCCAACTCCTTTAGCATTAGGTGGTTGAGTCTTTGTCTTTGGAGGATGGAAGCAGTGGCGAGTGCGAATTATTTGCTGTCATTTGATGGTCTCTATCCGGCTACGCCGCTATTTTTCAAAGCCTTTTTCCTTCTCTCATGGTCCTCTCACCGACTGCGCCATCGTTCGAGGCTCATGCTAGTTATGCGTTGGGTTTTCTTTTACTTTACTGTGTGCTTTAGTTTGTAATAAAAGATAATGACGTTGTTTTTGCCATTTTTTAAGTATTATTTTGTAATAACGTAGGTGGGTTTTTCACCTTTTGGTTTAGTTTGTTTGTCCAATCCGATTGAGTTGATTTGCGACGGTGTGAGCGTGATGTCCGTCTAAAGATCTCTCTATGTTGTGTTGTTTATGTCCTTTTTATTTGGGGTTTAGTCTCGGTCATCTAGATTAGTCCATCGATTGTTGAGGTCATCTCTAAAGAGCTTTGATCATGCTCGAGTATTCTATGCCGAGTATGTATTTCCCCAATGAATCTCGATATTTATTTTTGTCCCTGTGCTTGCAACGATTTTCTGGTCGATCCAGTCGTTCGAGGTTGAATTCTCTTTTATGACTTTGGTTCGAGTCTCTATCTCTTTTTGTTGAATTACAATTTCCCCTTAAAAGAATGATTTTAAACGTAGAATATGATGAGTGACAAAGTCAGGATTTGGGCAAATTGGACAGTAGTTGAGGTTGATCCGCTTGGATACCATTAAAAGATTTTCTTTTTCACTGTCTATTCCGGTCACATCCAACCTAACGGTCTTTTTATTATTATATCAGTCTTCTCCAATTGCGAATTCTTGCCATTTACTTTGATTTCTGTTGAATAATATATTGCCAGCTCATATACATCGCGGCAGATAGGTGAATATAATAAATAATGAACAAGCTGAATTGTTGCATCCAAAAGGGAGAAATTATCGAGGAGAGGAAACGAATCTTCTAAACAGAAATTTAATCCTTCATAAATTAATCATATATTATGATGTACATAAAGTCAACATCTGTGAAAATCACACAATTTCAAATAAAAGAAAACACCAATTATTTGCCTAAACAAATTATAGCACTGCCTCTTCCCTAGCCCATGATTAAGTGAACCAATAAGGTAGGCAGCACAACTGAACCCCCAACCAGATTCATGTTACCAACAATACTCGCTGCTCCACTGGGGGACGGAGGCGGCGGGGGGTTTTCGGAAGAACTTGAGCCTGATGGAGGCGGCGGAGACGATGAGGTTGGAGTAGTAGAAGGGCTTCCAGAGGGGGTGCTAGCTTCCTTAACGTCCACTTTGAGCTTCATTCCCCCAGAGCAATGGCCAGGAGTAGGGCATATGAAGTACACTGTACCCGTCTTCGACAGCTTGATGGTCGCTGTCGTACCGGCATACGACTTTAAAACATTGGCGGAGCTACAATCGTTATAGCCGTTTTCATTCACTTCGTCCACTGTGTGGGAGCTGTCGTAGTTGAACACTGGGAGTATAGACATATTCAATATTAGGGCTTTGGCCAAGTAAAATACGTACAGTGATTAATGTTGCTTAAGTGAAACTTATTAATTATTGAGATATTTTATTAGGATTCAAGAAATATATGAAATCTTTTCAACATGTGTTCCTATATTTATTCCTGTTAAGGTTACGTACTCTAGTTAACTACAATGATAGGGGCGGGTAAGAAAAAATGTCATTACTTTAATGAAGTAGGTTGAAATGTGTCAAACTTTGTTATAGTGACATTCTTGGCATTATCCAATTTGTCTGAATTTCACATTGTGTTTGTTAGCCAAGCAACCTAAAAAAAATTGCAAAAAGAAAACGACCCTGCAGATGTTTCCCTAAGTAGGTAGGTCTAGATAATATTATTTGTTTTGGCTCTCAGATAGTATTTTATTCGCTAACCTTTAATTGCTGGTCAATGAAAAACGAACAAGCTGCCACGTCTTAAATTTAATCATGTAATATGATTTTTATTCAGCAAAAAAAAAAAACCATGTAACACGATATATAATTATAAGAATTAGTTAGGGTGTCCAACATAACGATCATCATGATATTGCTTTATGTTATAGTAATTATATAAATATATACTTCCTGGCTCCAATTTTTTTTTCTCAATTTACCTTTTTTAAACTTTTATATTTTAAAATACATTTTTTTAAACTTTGAATGCCCACCATGTCAACAAAATTGTTAAAATTATAGACATAGATTGATGCAGGGGGCATTTTGAAGTGTTTTCTATATTTCGGGGGTGTTTTGAACTATTTTAAAAAATCAAGAAACATTCTGAAACAAGTACATATTTTAAGGGGCATTTATGAAAATAATCCTACAATTTATGCCTTATTATAGAATACGGCTTATTTTCGATGAATTGTATTGTAATATTTTATAGGGGTCCATGGTCCATGTCAGGACTAGAGCTTGACTCAGGGTCGGGGTTAGGCTAAATTTTACTTATCCTGACCCCCTTCAATTATTAAAATTACAATTTTATTCTAAATTTTTACAAAATTATATTTAAACTCAAAATTTTAAAAAAATTACATTTGAACCCCTTATAAATATGTCATGACATTAAATATAGTATTGTATTATAACAATACAACAAAATACATCACAATAAAATAAAACTTATATTATGCAAAATATTACAAACTATCAAACATGGATTTAATACCTTCCAAAATATCTCTTATTTTATTTTTGGAAAATATTAATTAAATTAGACAAAAGTTAATTATTTGGTGGATGTGTGATTAAAGTTAGGGCAGTCAGGTGGTCAAGAAACTGCAAGCACTAGCATTAAGTAGTAGCAGTTTGTGGTTGATCACAATTCGTTAATTGATGGGCTAATTTCTATATTAATGGGAAACAAATTATCTCATAACATCATGTCCATTGTTGAACATATATATATATATATATATATATGCCCCTTAGTACTAGAAAAACCCTTCTGAAGAATTTTGATCTAGTCGACAAACGGAATAATTAATGACCACCCACACACACACACACATTTAAGGATCTTACCAAGAGTGTCGCCAACTCTGAAGGTCTTATCAGAAGTCCAAGTGGCATAATCCACTCCGGAATTCCAACCTGAAGCGTCGCCGACAGTGTACTGTGCCGCGTAAACCGCCGGAGCTGCCATCAGAAGAACTAGAAGAGCTGTCATTATGGCTGCCATGTCTCTCTCAGTACTTTAGGTAGAAAGACAACACAAAGAGAAATAGAAATATACTTGGCTAAGGGCCAGAGATATATATGTGATTGTGAGGAATATGGAACTACGAGTGTGTAACATCTTATATAGACAGCTAACAGCGCATTATATAATTTTTTTTTCTCAAAACAACATATTTCAATCAAGTAACATTGTGATGTAACCTAAAGTAATATGTGTTGAGAAGTATATTAAAAATAATTTTAAAAAAAATGTTAAGTCACCTACCAAAACCTTTATCGTTTTGTAAGTTCTTTGCACTAAGTACGACGGCCATATTTATTTAATCATACGCACTGTATTGGAACCTTAGTGGCCCTCATTTTCTTTCTTTTTTTCCATCCCCCACCTAATGCATTGAAAGGTTACTGATTACGACTTAAAAGTGAATGTATTTAGAAGGAAAATTTACAAGCCCCAAAGGAAATTGTCATTCATCTCTTCACGTTTTTATGTTTTTTTTTTTTTTTTTTTTTTTTTTTTTTTTTTTTTTTTAATTTTTGAACTACATCGGATAAAGTTTCATAGCAATAAAAAATTATTGTCGTAATTTGAACTCTTACCTATATTAGTCGAAGAAGGTTTAGTTATACTGTGCACATATATAAATGGAAGTATATTATTAGCTTGTGACGTTGACTAATTATATTACTAACAATATTCAAACATTTTATACATTAGGGATTAATTTGCCTATTTAATGAAAGTTATTCATCCCCAGTTAACATGATCCCTTCCCAAACTCCAGAGTTTACAATCCTATTATTCTGGGATAAATTTTTGACAGCATTGCCTTGGCTAGCTTCTGAAGGAATAAACACTCTTGAGAAACGAAAAAGAACAAAGAATTCAAAGAATGAATCGGAAGAAAAGAAAAAAGAAAGAAATGGAAGAATAAGAGTAGTACGAATTTACAAAATTATGTGCATAGGAACTAAAAAAAAAAAACAGAGAGAGAGATATTGAAGTCGCTGTGATAATCACTTTGACGATAACATGGCGGTTAAGATTGATATTCTGAAAGCTTTTGACACCATTAAAAGAACTGGCCTTTCATCCTCAGGATGCTTCTTGATTGCGGGGGGAAAAAAAAGTCCTGTAATTAGGAAGTAAGAGCTATGTCTCAAAGGCTACATTGTCTGCAGCGAATTGAACTTTCTTTCATGCTTAATTAATGCATAGAAGCTCCAAAAGCATTTTGGATTTGACTAATGGTCAAATAGATTTATATATCTTAATGTTTGAGTAATTAGATTATATACATCCCTTTTTTTGAGATGTACTAATTTAGCCCATATCTTAACTATATATTAAACGAGACCAAAAAATATTCTATCTGTTGATTTTTTTTTTTTAAAGCTTTTATCAGGGGGAAATTCCTTTTTTTTTTTTTTGCTTGGTTTTGTTTTTTCAACGACTCATTTTTCTTATTATTGTGTAACTGAAAAGTAAGATTGGGGTTGTATTTGTACTCTTACAGTAATGTTTTTGACGTTAATAAACAACAGCAAGTTCATTTTTCTGCGTCAATTTCCTCATTGCTAGTCATCAATTGGTACTACCTATATAGTATATATTTACATGATATGACTAAATAATTGACTCTGGAGATTGTCAGGTTAGGTAGGACATTGACCGAAACTAGACAAGCCACAATTAAAACAAAAAACTAAAAGCCAGAGAGAATATTATAGAAACTTTCAATTACCAACCATCAATCATGATGACTTCACAATATCTTTTACGTTTAAAACATTTTTAGATATGGGATTGCCACCTACTATTATGTTCCTAAGGTAGACGTATATTCTTGCCGAATTGCTTAATAAGTCTCCACATACAATCCACAAACATATTCTCTTTCTCTTCATACACTGGGAAAATCAAATGTGTTAATTCATATTTAGAAAATGGTTTTCACATATGTTGACTTTTAAATAAAATAACAAAGCAACTGGAGTTGTTAAAGCTACATAAAGCATGATTAATAAATTATCATTCTTTTGAAATGTTTTCTCCGGCTTTTAAGCAAGTGGTTTCCAAATCTAGGGTACAATACTAAACGGTCCATATGAGCGGATTAAGGGATGCGTAGCAAATCTATATCTTTTGATTCGGTACTCTTACTTGGCATCAATTAAAACCATCTTCTTAAATTGGTTAATTACTAGTTGCAGGCATTATCCTAATAATAATTTCAGATCTGATTCTTCCATAAGGTGTAGAATTCGAACCCTCTCACTATTGATTAATTTAGAACGAGAAATCAGTTAATTAAACCTGATCGTCAACTTTTGGTAATCAGTTAAAAACCTTCTTCCTTTCCGTGTTATCTTCGCACTAAATACACTTCTTTTTTCTTGCTGTATATTGAAAGAATAGTATATATGTGTCTATTGCTCTTTATTTTATGTTATTCTGTCTTTTTTTTTAAGTAATATTTTTTTAAATTTTTTTCTCTGTATAAAGGATGTAGCAGTACGTGGTTTCATCGTTTAAAACACATATCTTATAGGGCATGTTTATTTGAATGTATTAGAGTGCCGTATTTGTATAATAATACAATAATATAATATTTGATTTGACTATCGTATTGTATAAGTTAATTTGAATTGTAAATTAATACGGTTTATGTCGTATTATTGAATATGATTATTGTATTGTATTATTTGATAGTAGATTAATAATTTATGTCGGGGTTGGACACGATTATAGGTCGGAGTCGGGCTGACATATGGTCGGAGCCTATAATTGTTGGAAAATTTAGGAGACACAACGCACATTTTATATTTATTAAAAATTAATTATATTTTGACCCTACAACTTTTGTAAATTACATTTTCACCCCAAAACTTTTATCAAATTATATTTTGACCCTAAAATTATTAAAATTTTACATTTTGACCTTATGCAACACGTCGTGACACCAAACACCGTATTATATTATGATAATACAACACAATACAATACACCTTATACAATACAATACAATATAAACTACCAAATATGACCATAGTGTAAACACACTTCATTTTTTTTTTACCCCCTAATTAATGTGCGAGTCTAGGATCAATCCTACAAGTGGAGCTTCCAACTATCTTCCTTTTTTTTTTTTGGGGTTCCTTCTTTTTTTAATCATTATGGAGTTGGTCGCTCAAAATTTTTTTTCCCTTTCCAGACTTCCTTGTTTTTTATTTTTTATAGTCAGAGAATGAAATTGCCTAGTTGATGCCTTCTTTAGTTGGGACGCGCTAGTTGCTTGTGATAGTAGTACGTAGTTATTCGCTCCCACACTTTAAGAATAAGAAAACCTTAATTAATGATCTTATTTGAACTGGCCCCTAATTTAAAAATAAATATTAGAACCTCAATTATTAAAAAAAAAAAAAAAAGAGCACAGAGGAAACCCATGGATTGGGCGACTAAATTTGCCATGAGGTCCCTTGGTGGTGGTTGGACCCCATGGATTGGGCGACTAAATTTGCCATGAGGTCCCTTGGTGGTGGTTGAAAGACTATAATTAATTATCCTTAGCTTTAGTAAACATAGTGGCCATGTGTGGTGTAGAAGATTTCTTTGTTAGTTGTTATGTCAAAAGATTCAAAAGTTTTGGGTGTTTCTGCGTAATATTGTAATAGAGATGGACCTAATTACTTATTATATATCTCACCTTGCTTGCTGAGTATTATTTTCCTTCCCTTAAAAAAATAAATAAATAATTGCTCTGAAGTTGCAGAGCTATTTTAATTATAGAGTGAAATTAATATTCTGCCCTTTGGCGGTGATCCTAAACTCTCCCGGGGAGAACATTTGGGAAATTCAAGGAGAAGGCCCTTTAATTAATGGTTAGTTGCAAGACCCAAACCGTTTTGATAAATTAAATCTTGATTGCTTTTAGGGATTCTTATTTGGATATCAATAAGGGTATTTAGGCTATTTTAAATTTCTTTTGAGTCTTAGCCAGCTGTGTAGGTTTTAAAGGTACTGATATATATAAAACAGAAAAATATGTGCAATTCACATGCGTGAACTTGGGTGAATACACAACTTTGATAAAATATTTGGAAGGTAATTTTGTTACTAGGCCTTAATCTAATTTGTATATATAATATATATATATATATATACACACATATATATGTTGATGGAACTCAACATATATATTTGATGCTCGACCTAATCGCCGACCATGAATGATCACATGATGACGCATTTCATGCATGCACGTCGTTTTCTCATCGAACATTGCCCAAAGAGCTTCGGAGGTATTTTCATGAATTGCGTCCTCATCTGCACAAAGAATATATTAGTTGACATATGATGGGGAATGGTGAGTGTTAGTTATGTAATTGGAAGATGATGAGCAATAATGTTGACTATATATTCCAATTAGAAATGGAGCCGTTAAAAAGATATGTTTTTCTTTGTTTTTGCTTCTTCTTTTTTTCCCCCTCCTTTTTCTATGGTATATTTGTCGGTATTATTTCAAAATCAAATTAGTCTATGGCACCCGATAAAATAAAATAAAATAAAATAAAATAAAATAAAAGGTAAAAGGTTCTCTAATTTTCAGGGACAAAAGAAAGTTCCGTAATTACTTGTTATGCCACTAGCTCAATTGTGAAATATCGTAGTCCAAAAACATTTTTTTTTTTTTAAATCTTTAGTATACAAATGTCACGGCAAGACAGATAAATTCTTACAATTGACAAAGTCAAAAATACCATCTGATAAATTTTCAAACCTTTTTAACCACCAACTTATAGTATTATTGCGACCAGTCATTTTTTATAGTTCAAACTAAAATATAGTCTGGTAGATTATAAAATATGGAAAATACTAACACACCTCCTTTGCCTTTCCGCTATTGATAACGGAAATTGTTGTCCGTTAGATAAACATTGTACGGTCATTATGTTATCTCAGAAAAACAAAAATACACCTCATTTCACCAAATCAGGTTCATTAAACCCAAAAAAAAAAGGATATTTTTTGGTACACCTACCAGTAGGCTAAGTTTTCTAACTATTAGATCTGTGTATTTTTTAAAATTTTACATGATTTTATACATATCTAACAGATAGAAGACCTAACCTACTAGTATATTAGTCTACCATCATTCCTGATGATTTGAACTTTTTCTGATGACTCCCCGCCGGTGATGACCACCCACCGCTGAGATTCACTATTTGTTTGTTTTTTTTAAATTATTAGTTAGAGTCAAAAAATGTGGTCGTGTTTACATTTCTTACCATGAAATCGCAATCTACGACCGTTAATTCTCAATCAAACGGTTCAAAAAAAAAGTCCAACAGCAATACGAATCCGTACCATACGGTACGGTAGTCATTCCCATAAAACTCATATGTCTCTTTATTTGTGTCTTTTTTCTGTTTTAATTCTTTAATAAGATCAAGCCACATTAATTAACTATCAAGACTTTTTAATTGGCGTAATAGTAAATTTTAATTGACATAACATACTATTATTAGAGAAACATAATAAGGGACAATGAATAATTGAAACATAAGAGTCGAATTCGGTGTTGCAATGGTGCTTTACATTAGTTTATGTATAAGCTAGCGGAATTCATCAATCGTTAGTATAGTTTTTTTTATAAATAAACTATAATCAATTATTATACAACCAGTAACTCCTATCCAATTTTTGTCATGACACAGTATGAAATTTACACGTACAAGCTGGCTATAACCCATCTTATGGGACCTATTTTTGGGATAAATAAAAATATGGGGGTTTGACTTATGTTTAAATTTGAGGAATATCGATTTTAAAGTGTTATAAGTACTCAAAGATCTAATTTTGTAGGACTTTATTATTAATTTTCACGTCGAAGTAGAACAAGCAAATAACTAAATTATAGAAATGATACACATCTATTCTCAAAAAAAAGAAATGATACACAGCTTAATATGCACCATGTATAATTAGTACTAATTATGTACAGTATCTATAAAGATAGAATGATCACTTAAAAATTAACATAAACTTCCATTGTAGCTTCATGGCCCTAGGAGAAATTTCTTTTTTTATCAATCTTAACTTTCTTTTTGATGCTCTGATAATGTGATAAATCTCTTGTGTTTGGTTTGTGTATTCGTGTCATAATTTGAATCATGGTTCGTAGTTCGTTACAGTATTTTCTCTCACAAAAAATACATGTAAATCGAGAATAATTCTGAATCATATTGTAATCCGTATATTTATTAAAAACTCGTATTACATTAATGAACGTGCGCATTTATGCACTGGATGATTAGATCCGCAATATTGCATATCCAATCTATTTGAGCTCTAAATTTAAAATCCCTACAATTCTTGCCTTCAAAAATATAATAAATTTTTCAAAATATATATACACACACATGATGTTCGTATATATTATATATAGAAAAGTATGGTTTTAATGATTGCTCTAATATTTTTTCATCACAATGATATTTTTTTAAGTGTTTGATATTGATCAAATAGTTGTAATAAATTAAGTAGTTGATTAAGAAAATGTATATTGAAAATCAATCATATTTAAATTCTTATCTTGCCACATTATTAAATTTCTATTTTTAATGAATAACTTCCAGAAAATGTGCCCTAGTTAATTTTTTTTTTTTTTTGAAAAAAAGAAAACCTGTCCTAATAATTAAGGATATTTATCTAAATAAACAAATGTGTGTGTAGAGTAGAAGGAACCAAACTTAAAGCCAATCTTCCCAACAAGCGAGCATGTTGATGTTCTTAATTTTTTTTCTTTTTTGGTTGAAATTAATTCCCATGGTCATCATGTTCCTGTACCCAAAGACTGACCAAGTATATCTGACGTGATCAGAAGATCTTAGGAGATAACCCCACAGCAACAACTTGTCGCGTGTAATCCACCTTCCATTTTAGTCAATGTACTAGTCTCCATGATAATAATTCAAGCCTATAGCGTCTGTTTCGCCTTCTGGGTCCCATTTTCCCGTGAAATTTTGCACCAATTCATTTAAGTAATTCCAAAATATACATTTTATCAAAAAAAAAAAAAATCCATAATATACATGCATGGAGATTTCCTCTCTCTCTCTCTCTCTCTCTCTCACCCTCATTTATGTGCAAAAAGTTCTTCAATATCACTATTCTATGTATGGCCAATGTACATTGCAGCTGTAAAGGAGCTTGAATTGGTAGAAATAGATCCTTATGAAATGCAAAAAGAACTATATATTCAATCATAGAGCTTATTATAAATATAGGCCAGCCATGCCAATTCTTCAAATATTTATATATATATATATATGTATGTATATACACAACCTCTCAATTTATATTCACTCACTATATATATTATTGAGAAGAGCAATTAGAGGGAAATATATAGGAAGAGACAATTATAATGAAAGGAGATAAAGATGCAAGATGGTCAGAAAGTAGTTCATTCACAAGTGCATTGACACTACAACAAATGCATGCAGAATCGATGTCGTAGGTTATGCGAAGCAAGTCCAGTACCCACTCGAGGACTTTGAGCATTTCAATGAAAAACCAATAAACCGAGCGAACCGCCAGTGAAATTGGATCGACCGATGCAAACCGATCATGTTTTGTGGAAATCGAAACCAACCGATCATGCAAACAATCTTTCATTCTAAGTCTTAGACACAACCAGAAAAATCAATCTCACCAGACGACTGTCAGTAACAAATCAAGCACTAACGGTTGGAGGTTCAAAACCTGTAACTAACCATCTCATGTCAGTTGGATGGGAACCCCTCAACCAACCCAAATCTACCAAAGGCCACCCTTAGTGCACGTAATATTGTCCACTTTGCCATCAAGATTTTGTGCAAACATTCACTACCTCATCTCAGTCTGGCCGTGTTAATAAGATCTTACATGGTCAATGCGGAAAGCAAAGAACATCCACACGCGCACAAAATAACAAATCATCAACCATGTAACAACGTTGTGCTTTTTGGCTGCTATAAGAACTATACACACACATAAAAGGCTACCACATTCACAGCGAAATAGAAAAACAACGGAATAGAGCACAAACTGGTCGGGAACTGGAGCCGTTCCCCTGATGAGGGCAAGGCATGGCGAAACCAGTCGACGTGATGTGCTTTAAGCGTCTGTTGGTGAGATGGCATGTCATAGTGATTAGAGACACCAACGGGTCTTTACCGAGCCTCTACATGGTGTACGAGTGTGGAGACTCGCCCGGTGGCCTTGACACAAAACCACCCCTTTATAATAGTCATCTTTTTATTATTGACCTCTTAATTATAAGAGCCCTTTTGTCAAAAATAGATCAACTTAAACAAATTAAAAATAAAAAGGCAATACTATTTATAAGAAGTAATATTGATTTCACATTAATTTTTAAAGGTAAATTTTAGAAAAAATTTCTTTAAACAAGGACTATGAGATTGTCTTTATGTTATGAAATTCTCTAAATAAAAATAAAAAACATATTTATTAAAGTCTCATTTAGAGAAATAAAAAATGTCTATAATAAGATAAAAAAGACAAAAATAAAAAAAAAATGTATAATATATAAGACAAAAAAAATAAGAATGTGTGTGAAATCAATTCTTTCTTAATATATAGGTATATATAAGATAAGATTGACATTTTGCAATCACGAAATTACATTTAAAATTCAAATCGTTTTGTATTAGATATATTTCATCATTTTTCTTTTCACAACAATTTCAATTTTCATAATCTCTTGACTACCAAGTTCAAAAAATTGATAGGGTTAATCATTTTTTCACTGACGAAAAATAACAGATTGTCTCAAGAAATAAATGTTACATGTACAATCCAGCAAAAGAATGCCGTTCTAAATTGTTTCTCCTATCTCCTCTCTCCCACGTTCTCCTTTCCCCGAAGGTAAAGAGAAAAAGAAAAACTAAAAAAAAAAATGAAAAAATGAAAAAAGGTGTGGGACAATTTTTATCGTGTCTTTACATGAATTGATTGGTAATAAAATCTAAAATCCAGGTAAAACTGAAAGGTCAGCTATCCCCCTTGGGAGGTCAGCAATTTTTTTAAGCAGCGCAAGCCTGTTCTTCCGAATTCTTTCATCATCCTGAACATTGGCAATAGCAATTAGTCACAATCAATAAATTTCCACCAAGGGCCTTGTGATAAAGTCTATACATTACAAATTTTCTACCTAAAGATTGTTCTCGTTCGTTTCACTTGTTCAAGTTGAGAATTTGAGTTAAAAAGTAAATTTATGAAAGATAAACATTGTAGAAGAAAAAATTAAATTTAAATTTTTGTCAGAGAAAATACTGTTGCCAAAACTTGAATTGTGATTTGAACTAGTGAAACGAACAAGGTTTTAAATTTAGGTTTTTATACGCAAATAAAAAAAATCAGGTATAGAATTAATAACTCGACAGATGACTTTCAACTCCTTGGAGGTAAAGGAGACATACCACCATGACAAATACGGAATCAAAGAAATCCTCAAGTGGCTTTAGCAGCTGCGTCGATGCATCAAAGAACTCATCAACCTCAATATCTGTTAAAATAGCAAAGTTAAATATCATTGTTATCCGACTACATAGACTTCTTATATTTCTTAGTGCTTGTCTGGTTTGAATCTATTGACGAAACGGGGAGACGTTTGGTTCATGGATTAGAATAATAAGATTAGAACTATTTTTGATTCACCTGTATTTTTTGTGAGAGAAAACACTGTAGCGAACCATGAATCGTAATTCGAATCGGGGTACAAATCCCCCCAATCAAACAATAAATGTTTTCCCTTTGAAACTGAGTTACACTAGACAAAACTGAAAAAGGGGGTTTTAAAGTAAATGGTCGTTTTCCAAGTTTTTTCAAGTAAATGAGGCAAGTTTTGTTAAATTAGAAAAAAATGACCATTTTTAGAAATGGTAAATCAATGGAGATTGATTTATTATTAATTATTGATTAACTTGATGGTTTATCATTGATGGACCGATATTCGCCAATATCAATCAATAATTTACCATATGAGGACAGACCATTAGTAAATCAGTGACAAAGATGTCTATCAATAATAAACTATTGACCACTGTAAAATTGAACCCAAAAAAAAAAGCACGGCCTTAATTGCAAAAAAGTTCGGCCATTAATTAAACAGAATGGTCAAAATCGGATTTCCCTCCCCCCACCCCCACGAAAAAAAAAAGCAACGTTCTGTGTAAGAAAATCCAATATCAAAATGCAAATGTGTAATACAACACTGAAAATACCTAAATATATCTTGCTCTTCACTGACAAGAAAGAACTCCACAAGGCTCTCTCTTCTTCTGTGTCAAAGAGAGCCTCATCCACCTGATCAGATTATTTCAATCAATGTGAGGTTAGATTTAGAAATAGGACAGATAATAAGTTCAAATGAGACGGATTGTGTTTCGCTGAATGCCCTTGAAAGACGAATCATCAGGTGCAACAATAAATAGGACATTGAGATCAAAACAGTCAATTTTCTAATTTCAGAGGAAACCATGAAGCAATGAAAGGAGAAGCTAAATAACATGAAACGATAATTTTTTTTTTTTTTTAATATCAGCTCTGTAAAAGGGGAATCTATTATCATATAATCATATAACATAATTAAAAAAAGGTACCTCAATATCAGGGTCTACATCCTTTCCACGAACAATTCTGGTTGGACGACAATATGCTTCTATTACCTTGGGGAAAAGCACGCCTTTTGACAAGGCATCCATCTACAGCCAATAATTACGAACCAGATAAAAATTAAAATAATCCAAGAACAAAAGAAAGTAGATAAAGCTTAGTTTCCTTGCGTAGTATTACTGAATTGTTATATTGATTATTTTCTTATAAGAAACAGACAAAATGAGTCCCTTCGAATAAATCACGAAAGAAAATCAGTAACAAGCATTCTTCAAACTTTGAAAAATAAATTACACCTTCTAACTAGAAGTTAATATTTTCAAATTAATGAGTATTCACAACCACTATCTGATTCTGACATCATGATATAATTAATGAGAGTCGGGCATCTGTCAATTCAGATGATAAATAAGATAAAACTTTGTGACAAGCAAACAATTTAAGGAGGAATCAGGAACAACTTGCTAGTGTCGCCATTTTAGTACGAAAGCTGCTTCCTAAACAACAATACCAACCGGAACTTTTGTGTGGAGCTCAGCTAAGAGAATACATCACACTCTCGGGAGATTAATACTACTGCAATAAGTACTTTCCAGCGAAAAATTGTAGCAGAAAATGAGTGTTATAAATTACTGGCTAGTAACAGAACTTATCTATAAGAAAATTCACATGATATCACATAAGACATCTTTTTTGTTAACAGAACAGGCATCTTTTATAGATGGTAAAAATTAAGCGCAAAATAGAAGAAAAATTACATACAAACACAGGAATTGCATAGAAGACATTATTTCACACAAAAATTTTGTGGAGGCAAAAAAGTAAATAGAGGAAAAAAAGTAGTAACTAGTAAATAAAGTTGCTTACCTTATATGCAGACTTAGCTGCTAGAGAAGGCTTGTTGGCACGCTCTATGAGGACAGAACGAACCACTTCAGAACTTATTCCCTTATCAACCTGTATCAAGAAGTAGCCAATGCATACAAAAGTCATTTCATCTTTGAGAAATACTACATGCCACCCATACATAGAATTCATGAACATGGAAATCGTTTATTTTTGAATTTCTGGAAAAGAAAAATCAGACGGAGGTAATGGGAATATCATTATACTCTTTAACAGCATATAAATTTTCCAGGAAGAAAAGAAAGAAAAAATGTAACCTTTTTGATATATGACGAGTATATCTTTCTGTTTCTTATGAGAAGAAAAAAGCACTTAATCTTTTAACTTCATTTTCAAGCATATAAAGGTTTGAATAACCCTACAGTCTTCTAGATTCATCTGTATTAGAAAAATATTGATTATACGTAGTCTTCTAGATTCATCTGTATTAGAAAAATATTGATTATAAGGCTTCACGGCTCACTTCATTGATTAACCTTCAAATCATATGCCAATAGCAGCTTTCAATCTTTTATAGCCTTGAAAAACCTCCAAACTAGATTTTAACCATTGAATTTCAAACCGCCAACATACTTTCTGGGTATCAGTTATCCTTCTAGCCTAACCTTTGTTAATAACAGTACTCAGTCTGCTCATTGAACCTTATGTCCTTACTCCTTCCCTCCATAATTAAAAATTATCTATATTTATATATGTGTGCGCGCGCGCGCGCTAGATCCATAACTTTTCTAATACTAAGACACAAATTAAGCAGTATTATCAGGCAGCTCTTAAGAGCTGTATGAATGAGGAAAAGAAGCCACATGAGTAAGAAATATTCAAGACACGAAAAAAAAAATACATACCAAAAACTGCTCTAGTCTCCGAACGACAAATTGATGTACCTAAGAATGAAACAAGGACGATAAGTACACAACCATGACAAATCAAATCAAACATGAGACGTGTTTAAGAAACAAAAACAAATTCACAGCAGGGTCCAAAATTGAGAACGGGAAGGAAAAATCAGAGGGACAGAGTATGGGACGCGCCTCTTTTAAGATGGAGGCTGGGACTATTGTAACTCATCCTACAAAAGATTTACTTGTCCCACCGAGAGTTTCAAAATTATTCCTTCGCAATGTCATCTAATTCTTAATCTTAATGAAGCACTAAACATGGGACTGTATTTTCACCCTATTCCATCCTTAGTCCTAACGCCTGCCCCCCAAACAGGCCCTTAACTTTTGCATGTTAAGCCCTTTTAATATAAATTTGTTGTCTCTCATCAAAGTATTCCCCCATTAGACTAGTCCAATACATGTCTCCTGTAAGTATGACCATTTTAAAGGCCGAAAATGGGAAGGGACTATAAAATTCAAAATCAATTTAGGCAAACCTCTTAATAACTTAAACTTTTGAGAGAGTTAATTTTCTAATTAGAAAAAAAAAAAAAAAAAAAAAAAAAAAAAAAAAAAGTAAAACAGTCGATGTAACCAATGAAGGTGGGCCTTGGCACCGTGGTGGGAACCTTGCGTTTGCACCCGGGGTCCAAGGTTCGAAACCCGGAAACGGCCTCTCCTTCGGGGGGTAAGGCCGCGTACATATGGAATTGAGCTTTCCCCCGAGCCTGTCATAGTACGGGAGCCTCTTTGGCATTGGGGTCCGCCTTTTTTTTTAGTCAATGTAACCAATCAAGTTAAATTCTTAATCAGGACGAAGAAACTTCTAGGTGGCAGAAGAGTATTATGAGCTCTCTGCTACCCTCTTTTTTGCGTTCAAATACTGTTAAAACTAGAAATTATAATTGTAGACGTGTAGAAAAGACAAATAAAGGCATGTGCTCTTACATTATCTACAGTACTTCCATCTACTTTTAGCGGCTGGATATCAGCGGTAAGCTGCAAAGCTTGTTTCAAGTCCAGATCTTTATTTTTCTCCACCAACACTTGGACCTAAGGCCAACAAACGAAGGATTATCGTACTTCGTTAGATGATTAGTAGAACAATAAATATATATATATATATATATATTTATATCATACTACTTACAAGACCATATGAGATTCTTCGCAGGCCAAATGGGTCATTAGTAGAAGTAGGCTGACAACCAGCAGCAAATAAGCCAGCAAGGCTATCTAATCTGTACAAAGTAGACTACATTAAACACTAGCATGCATTGAAAGAATAACCATATAGTCCATCAACTTAACCAGGGAGGAAAGAAAAGGGGAGAGGGGAATGATAAAATGCCCGTGCATGCACTACAATAAAGTATTCCATGCATAAAATAGGCAGGGTGAATAAGCCTATTCTCCCTCTTCGATCCTTCTTACGGAGTCAGGTATCTAAAATCAATGGAAGATTTAGTGCCATAACTTTTAAGATTCCTTTTAAAAACAGCAGGAGCAACAACAGCAAAGATAACAGTACTTCACTTCGATAAACTATAAGAAAGGGGAACAACCAATCTGTTAAAGTATAAAACTATTGTTGGTCCACCTCCTAACAGCTTAAGCTTTTGGAATGGATTGGTAAAAACTAACATGGTATCAGAGCGGGGGGTCCTGGGTACAAATCCATGTAATTGCACTCTTTATCCCCATTTAAAATTGTCATTATGTGTTGGGTCTTTAATATATCTCGGGCTTAAATATTCATGTGTTGGGCTTTCCAATTAATTTACCCACACGATTGCCTATTGTCCAGCCCACACGTGAGGGGGAGTATTAAAGTATAAAACTATTGTTGGCCCACCTCTTAACAGCTTAAGCTTTTGGGATGGATTGGTAAACTAATACAATCCTCACAAGCAAGAATAGCAAAATTAAAATAAAGAATTAATAACACATCAGTAATCAACAATCAAAATATATATCAATATATTTGGCAAATAAGAAAGATAAAAGATTAAAAAAGGAACCAATTTAATCAACACCTGTCTGCAATGGACAAAACTATCCCGGCATCAGTTTCCGGAAGTATATCTCCCGAGTATCTAGGAAGAGTGATCTCAAATACAGCCTCGGCTATCTGCAATGTACGAAATGCAAAATAAAAGAGCAAAATCCTAAATAAACTAGAAACACAACACAAAAGTCCATTGACTACCAAATAATGGATTTAGAATCCGTTTATACTAACAAGAGATTTTAATTTTACCAACACGTACATAGAATGCATACATATATATAAAAGCAAGTCCAGATAACGTGATACACAACCTGCTCTGAATAGCCATCTCTAAGAGCATAATGACGACCCATAATTCCAGAAAGGGATGTAAATTCTGTAACAACTGCAGTAGCGAGATCTGACATAGCAAGTGATGCTGCATCTTGGACAATTTGATGCGTATTCTCTTCGATTTTTAGGGCTGCACTCAGTTTGCTAACCATACTTTCCACGCGCATCATCTTGTCCAGCATAGTTCCCAGCTTCTCCTATTTTGTGTCAGATTAGTGCAAACGAATATGAGTGATTCGACCAATATATCTATATACCTACAGTACTTACGAATGATATAGCTTTGTCTTTCTTATAGCACAGTACAATATCATGTTATTTATAACGAAACTGAAAAAATTATTTCCTCTAGGAAAAGGAAAAGAAGTTACATGAAAAAGGATCCCTTTGAGTTGGCTTCGGAATTCTGAAAATCTTTTCCGCGTATCCAACCCATAGAAAAACTTTGCATCCTCATAGCGTGCTCTGCACATAGAGAAAGGGTTTAGTCCATCAGTGAAACTTCATATAAGGAAAAAAATAAGAAGAGCAGTTGTGGGCTCTGATTCCTCAGAGCACCCATGTCATGCAAGAACGAATCTCAGGACTACAGCTTATTGTCCACTCCAGCAAATGAATAATTGAGAAATTAATACAACAACAACAAGCCTTAATCCCAACTTAATTGAGGTCGACTATATGGATTACACTTTTCCACACAGCTCTGTTCGAATTAAACTTTCCTAAAGGCCTAGATCTAGAATGTCTTTCCTAACTACTTCAGTCCACATAATTCTTGATCTACCCCTCCCTCTCCTAGTATTAGGTATAATGATTGAGAAATTAATATAAAAATGAGATTATTAATGATTGAGAAATTAATAATCTCTAATTTTTTTTTAATTTTTTTGGGTTCATAGCAAATAAATGATTAAGATGCTCTCCCGAGAGAGAGAAAGAGATTAAGATGTATTGTTACCTTAGTACAGCTTCATTTCCTTTTTTGACCACCTTCTCATCAATTACTCCGTTTGCCACCTGAGAAAAAAGTAATAAGATTTTGCCAACACAAAGCAACAATTAGTTAATGACTCCGCTTCCTAATCTTATTAGGAGTTGGGATCGATTTTTATCCTTTAGTTTCTGAATTTTTGTTTTCTTGAGGACAACTCTTTTGGCTGTACATAATTATTATCATTAGTACTAGTTTCTTCTTTAAAAATAAAAGTGAATAAAAATAATAAAAATAGTAATAGTAAGAGCATATCTAATGCAATGCTATAATTAATGTACTAATTGTAAATTTAGCATTTGAGTGCAAAAAACACTCTCCAGTGCAATGCTATTTACTATGCCAAACTTCCCATATGCTATATTTTGTGGCAAATTTCCCACCAAACATAGCATATGGGAAATTTGACATTTGATTGTTAATGGTTGAAATGTCTACTTTTTCATGTAACCATTGCAACTTTTGCATGTTCTAATTATTTTAAAAATAAAAGTTTACCTTTACAACTTTTAAAGCTTAATGATTATGAAAAAAAATAGATTTAGCATTTCAAATAGCATTATGCATTGGAGCAAAAATGAAAAAAACATATCATATCATACTTTTTTATGTTAAGACAATTGGCATTAGCATTTGCATTGGAGATGGTCTAATAAGTTTACGAGTATCTCACAGCAATGAAGTATGGCAGCAGCGTTCCATTTTCATCAGTCAAGGCAAAATACTTTTGATGTTTCTGCATGACCTGCATGTATAGTTTAAAAGTCTAAACAAATTGAAGAAAAACATGAGCACACGCGCAAGCATGCGTGTGCACAGACACAGATACACTCGGTTCTTGAAATAACCAATTAATATTGATTGATACGATAAATCAACTCAAATCATATGCTAAAAACTTATATTTTAAGGACATCAAACTGATTATTTCAAATTAGTTCAAGAAGGTTAAACACCTTACCATAGTCAGAAGATCATTTGGAAGCTCTAAGAAGGATTCTTTAAACTTTCCAAGAACAGGAACAGGGGCCTCAACCAGATTTGCAACCTAAATATCTTTTTTTCGTTAATTTATTGAGCAATGCTTATGATTTACAACCTAGGTTACCATCACGGCTTTTCTAAGACTAAACAAAGTCCACCAGAAAAAAATAAAAATAATTCCTACCTCATTAAGTAGTCCCTCCTGAATAACAACATTTCCCTGAACACTTTTCGCTAGTGCGTTGGACTGCTCCAAAATTCTTTTCTTCCGTTCCTGGGTAAAAATGACTTGTCAAAAAATATTTTAGGAAAATAGGTTTTAAAAAAACTAAAATTATGAAGAGTCCCACATAATTCTATGATACCTCGATTTCAATATTAATGCCAGCATTCCTCGTCTGACCAGCATAAGACTCTGCAGTTTCTACCTATATTATGCATTCAAGTGCCTTAGACTGTGAAACACGTGAGAAATGTAGAATTACTAAATTGGAAATGCACTAATAGGAACATACATGCGTAAGACTTTGTGGGGGATATATTTAGATGTACTCAACTGAATACTAAAGCATACACAAACATTAGCATTATTTACAGGCAGGGGGAGCTTTCTCACTGTACAATGACCACAGGCAGAGTTATTATTAAACTGCTAAAGACATGCATGCACTCACGAAAATTTTCCTCCCACCCATGGTTACCATATTTTCTTATTATTATTTTCCTCACGAAAATTTTCCTCCCACCCATGGTTATCATATGTTTACAAGTGAACAGAGAAGATAATTAGGATCAGAGAATAGTAGTCCATTACTCCATCCCAATTAGGTTTGCATCCACTAGTAAACTCATTCCACACTAAATCTTCCATTCAATTTATTTGGTCACTACTTTAAACTAGCAAAAACATATGATCACATCGTTTAGAGTTTATGAGAGTCGTGACGCATCCACTCAACACATTTCAAAGCTTTTGACAGCAGGGATGAAAATAGTCAAATTACTGAGGCGTTAATCAAGACAAAGCAAACTATCTATTAAGTTTCTTTTGTTGCTCTAATAAAAATGTTTCTTGTAAAATGAAAATAAATAAATATATCAAATGTATCGCAGTTTGAAATGCGATTCCAATCTGTAAATTTTGGGGATTTTAGACAAGTAGAAATATATAAGCTTACAAAGGGAAAAAAAAATTATGAAATGCTATAACTCCATTCAATCTTATACTAGAAATTCCTTGAAATGCAAACAACTGTGCCTCTTATAACATCTATCATTATATATTGAGTTGGAAAGACATTGTGGGTAGTTGAGTGTGGTTTATGTATTATATATATATATATGGACAAATTTTCAATGGTTGTATTTCCATCAGTGGTTACTATCAAATATAGAAATTTTATGACGTGGTATGATAAGAATTCAATTTCATTAATTGCCATAAATTTTTTTAGTCAACTACCTAATATCCCACGGTTTAAACAATAATACCCATAGGTGGGTAAATTTGGAGTAAGCATTAAAAACACACCCGTATATATGTAATCATATATATATATATATATATATTGTTTTAATGGAAAGGTAGGTGATTTGCTACTTTTCCTATATAAAGCACTGGTAGCCCATACCAAATCACGAATAACTCCAAGAGATTAGTAAAGAAAGTTGAATATGGTATTTTACAATAATAAAGTTTTCTCACATACCATAAATGTCGCTGAATGAGTGTTTCGAATGCCATAGGACTTGTTCCCACTACCAAATAAAAGAAAACGGTTTTTTATTGAGTGAATTATGCGCAGAAAACTGAGAAAGAAAAACAGCAGACATGAATGTTTTAGTGGTAATTTATACACTAACATAATAAAGCAGTTCTGAACTAACACTTATCAGTTAACAAGAACTACTACACATTGTAGCACACTTTGATGATGTGTATGTGAGGACATGAATGTTTTAGCGGTAATTTATACACTAACATAATAAAGCAGTTCTGAACTAACTCTTATCAGTTTACAAGAAATACTACACATTGTAGCACACTTTGATGATGTGTATGTGAGGCTTAATAAATTGAGTCGAAAAGACACATCACAAAGACTTGGGGGATAAGAATCCATCACAGATATGATTTCACATGGCTACATAAAGAACAATCTTTAAACATCTCTGGACACATTATTACCTTAAAATTCCAGCAAAAGTAAATGGCACGACTACATCTCCATAAAGGGCCAATATCCAACGAATGGGTCTGCTAAACATAACCTAGAACAGAACAACAGATCAATCAAACAGGATATCTATCCTTTTATTTATCTAATTAAAGGGATAAGGATAGCCAATGTCCCCACACTAGATAAGTTCAATTAAAAGGAAAAGAGAGAGAGAGAGAAGTGGAAAAACAGAATAACTAAATAGGACATGAGACAAGTTTAGTTAATTGATCTGCAAATTCACGTCTACATTACAGCTCCTCATTATGTCACTCCTAAAAAAAATAAAAAAATAGCTTATCGAAATGAACAGTGGAATTAGATGTATGATTAGGGAATTCTAAGGACAACATATGCTTAGAATCTCATGGCCTTGTTACTGTTTTTATGAAAAAAACTAGTCTCAACCAACATATAAAGGTAAGTTAATTAGTTAAATACAATAGAAAGAAATTTTCTCTTTTTAAGGAGCCTATACATTAACATTCAAGTTTCCTTTCCACTTAAATTAAAATTTGCAAAATGTACAAACCTGAGAGTTCCACCGCATTGACTTTGGGAATGATATTTTAGCAATGGTATTGGACAAATCCTCGGACAAAACCTGAGAGAGAGAGAGAGAGAGAGAGAGAGAGAAAGAGGACCTTTATGAATGGACGGACGGAGAACAATTTTATGATAAAAATCTAATCTATTGGTTTAAATTCAAAATACATTATGAGAAACATGTTGTGCCAAAAACACTCATCAGAACTGTATCCAGGAGTTATAGCAGCCTGAGGGCTGCTAGAAGCTGGGGAAATCATCTCCCGGATTTTCACTTTGGACTTGGAGTAAACTTTCTGCACTTCTTAAGTTCCTAGATAACAAAATTACTTTGACAACCAAGTGAAAGAGTATGGACAAGCCATTGAGCCATCTCCAGCTCAAAAGAAGGTAGCAGACACAAATGCATAACATAATTAACGAATACAGAACTTGTCCTTGGAAGCAGCAGGGTTTTATCATTTCCTCCTATTTATAGCCTGCAGAGTTGTATTCTTTAGAACTATTTGTGTTGAGTATTAACAAAAGGCTGGGGCCCTAACTATTTTCTTCACCAGCTTTCAACTCTTTCTTGAGGTGTGTACTATGTGTAATCATAAGCATATATATAGGATGAGTTTATTTTATACGATTGGTAATTGTACTGGCTGATAAGTTTTGAAAAAATCAACAACAAAAAGTTCCGATATTTGGTAAGAACATGCTGCAGTAATACTCCAATGGATCCGGTCTGTTTGGCAGAGCTTTTGGCTTCCTGATTGTAAAAGCTGCTTCTAGAAGTTTTTGGATGATCCATCAAAAGAGCTTCTCGTCAAAGCATTTATGTGGTTTTAAAAATAAAATAAAAAAATAAAAAAAAGCCTCTTCTGAACATACTCCAAAACATGTGTCAGAGTTTCAGTAAGACATTATAAACTTCGTTCTAACATTTGTATTACTTATTAGAAAATTTTATTATAATTTTGACCTATTGAGCTCTTTCAAAAATGTGGTTCCAAACACTTACTGGAAAATCACAATGTTTGCTTCTCTTTTTGCACTTACTTAAAGTAAAAGAAAAGGCTCTGCCAAAAGGACCATCGACATCTAGCTAGGCAATACTTGAATGAAATCTTAAAGAAGAGATTATTGTGCTTAAGCAAAAATCTAACTGAAGAAATAGAACTTTTAAAAAGAAAAGCAACAAGACCTCCAAGGCTGGTCGAGAAGACTCCTTTACTTGAGCGTAAACATATTCTGTTTTTCCTGCAGCAGAAAATGAACCTTCTGAAATTCCATTATCAATTCATTATATTTTGGCAATTAGAAGAAATGTAAATATGGCTGATTAAAAAAACAAAAAAAGGCCAAATCTAACATTGGGATTGTTAGCACTCCAGCCCTCAAGTTTGTGTATGCGAGAAGGAGTAAGAAGGAGCAGGGGCAGGAGGGGAAATTGGCTATCATGGGATCAAGGCAAGGATAGGGGGCGTGTTAGAATACGGTTATGGGTTATGGGGATGTGTGCAAGTTAGTTAGAGTTTTGTGAAATAAATAGCCTACGGGCAGAGAATGTAGGCATGGAGAATTGAGAGTAGACTTGAGTCTGTGGAGGTTAGGAGGTGTCCTCGAATTCACCTCCATCTTTAATTTCCAGCATTGTATTTTGTCTTTCCTGCAAGTTTTGACCATCATTCAATCAAAGGAACCAGGCCATACTGGTTATTTCTTCGGATTCCTATTGTTTTCCTTTGCTCAACGTATACATTTTGTCTAGAACAGAGGGAGTCCTAACAGGGATGGAAGCATGCCATGCTTTCGTGGCTTATTTTTCTCCCTTCCAAGCCACAAACATCACAGGTAAGCTCTATTGCTGCAAGGCAGCATATATCTTGATAGGACTCCTTAGTGGTTAAGGAAATTAGTAGTAAAATAAGGGGGTTAGTAGCTCATGAAGAGATGATCAAATTTTTGAAAAGTTGGGGAAAGCCCTTGGGAGAGTTGATGGTCACCCGAACACCACCATTGTAGGGTTTCTTGTACTATTTTGGAGATTTATAAGTTTATTCAATACAGATTCATTCTTCTTGTTCATCTGTGTGTTAGAGATTGCTAGGTTCCTAACATATCTCAACACTCAACTTTGAGTGCACCAGTGTGAAATCCACTTGCTGTATGAAGAAATGTGGCACATAAAAATTATAATAAATAAAAAATACAATGACATAAGCCATCTCTACGTTGCCACATTTAGTAAATAACCATAAAGGTGTAGACTCACCATCAATCTTTTTATATAGCGAGTTCAGTGGTACAGAATACCTACGAGAAAAACCCTCAGCGGCCTGACATTAAACAACAGGTTAAATTCAATAGATATTCAGGAAAACTAACACAAAAAAAGATAACTACTACATCACGTCGCATGTAAAAAACAATATTATTCAAGTTAGTAGTTGAGGTTGCATATTCAGTAAAACTAACAACCAATCACTTCTTATACATACATATTTGGCGCAATTTTTTATGCAACCAATCACTTCTTATACAAGCACTGATAACTGCAGTAGTCAAATTCTACAAAGCACAGAATCCAAGAAGAAAAAAAAATTGTGAAGGCTAACACCTTTGTAGGATTTCCTTCATCATCAAATGCTTTCGAAGCAGGAGGTCCGCGAAACTCAACATCATTCTCCGCTTGTCTAGAGCAAAGGTTCTCAACAAAAACCTGGAAATCAACAGTGGTATGTTTGCAATCTTGCAAAATAAAACTTGAAAAAAGCAAAAGGAAATATACATAATTTTCTACAATCTTCCCACATACTCAATTTTAGTATCAGGAATGCAGGACTGCATTAAGTGTCATAGTAATACAACATCTTGTCACATTATGTATCCCAACAAATAGAAGCACTGAACGACAGTGTGCTGTGCGGGACATGTACAACTACAACCCTATTTCAAGTGAAAGATAACATTGAAAGAGTTTCATCCCAAGAGGATAACCATGACATAGGGCTTGAACCTATAGCATATAAATACAGAAGTATGCTTGCAAAGAGAGATAACCATACCACCAGTCTACGAGGTGTTCCAAAAGCTTGTACTTCTCCATGGCTCAATCTTTGCTTATCCAATAACTGCAGCACCGAATCTTTCAGCTGCAAACCAACTAAACAGAGTTAGATAACGTCTGCAACAGAAAAGGCACATAACTCGAGAAAGCTTAAAATAGAAAAACCATCCTCCTAATATACTTGTTTTTCCTCATAAATAACATATCTCCAGTTTTTTTTCCTAAAAAGATGGTTAATAGAACTGGAAACCTTAATTAAAAAAGTGTGGAGAGAAAAATGAAGATAAGGAAAAAGAAGAACAAATTAACCCAAAAAAAAAGTAACAAAAAGTATTTTGGGGCTGCGATGAGCAGCAGGTGATCACAATCTGTGACAGCTAAAAATAAAGAAAGCACATAGTTAAAGAGATGACAAACTTCAGGCAGCAAGCAAAAGTGCTTCAAAGACTAGACTAAGCATCAATATAGAATGTCTGTCCTAACCTACTTCTCCACCACACAAGTGAAGAGCCCATGACCTAGAACATTTAGATTTTGTTACATTACTTAAATAGAAAGAAAGATCATAGGAATAGAAGATCAGATTTCCTTAATATGAGAATGAGTTATACTTGCTGGCTTGCGTCAACAACATCTTGAGGGGGTATCTCTTCTGTCCCAATTTCAAGAACAAATAATCTTGAATCATCACGGACCTGGGATACAAGTCAACCACAACACAGAAACTGAACAATAAGCAAAAACAAAGCAAATTGAGATCTCAACTATTAAAAAAGTATAAGCACAATTTTGACATGGCAAACAGCAAAAGAATTTACATTTATACGATAGCTTCTTTTTTAATAAGAAAACACCTTTATTGATAGTAGACATTGATAATTTAAAAAATAAATTGACTAATCAGGAAATTTTAGTTGACAATTAGCATCCATGTGTTAAGGACACACTGCATTTCCATTCATATTTTATAATGAAAGGACCAACGAAAATGCCAAAAGTAAAGAAAAATGCACAAGCATGGACACATACACAATATAGATAAATAGACACATATGTCCACAATGTCAATTGATATATTTGTTTGACCTGCCAAAGCTTTCATCTGAAAAGATTATTCCTTTTTAGCTAAATATGCTACAATAATAATCTAAGACATTAAAGGAGAAAACTGACCCTTTTGGCAGCTGCCTCAACAAGCTCTTTAGGACATACAAGATTAACAGGTTCAGAAACAAGGCCTAATGGATATCCAAGGGACTCCCTCGTTTTCAACCAAAGCTGTGCGCATTGACGAGCTAAACTGGTAGCAACAAGAAGATTAAGAACGAGCATAAAAACGGAGAGCATTGAATAGAAGCCACTCACTCCACTGTCACCCATGAATCATAGAAAATAAAAATATAAATTGCTGAAACTAAAAAAAGTTATTATAGGTAGTTAAATCACATAATGAGCAGAGACATTGCTTCATTTTTTCTTGATTTAACACTCCTAACATAGCATCAATATCAACACACATGTAAGACCCAGATTCAATGCAAAAGGTTAATATACGCCAAGCATAGTTGCATAGTAAAGCTCTACAATTGAATAGGTAAATACCTTTATGGGCCTCCAATTGGGAAATCTAACTTACCTACGCATCCGACCGAAATATCGAGCACGCTCTGTCACTCCAACAAAGCCTCTTGAGTCCAAGATGTTAAATGTATGTGATGTTTTTAGAAGCTGATCATACCTACAGCATCGAAGAAGATATCAAAACCAATAAGAAATAACAACTAAAATATATCACTTAAAAAATAAGGGGAAAAAAAAGGGAATAGAAGCTTAAACATACGCAGGGATAGCTAGACCAGAAGCAAGCAAGGAGCGAGATTCTTCCTCAAAAAAATCAAAGTGCTTTTTAAGATGATCCACACTGGCATGCTCTAGATAATAAGCGCTCATTTCTTTCCTGGAACAGATATACGTATATTAGTCATTTATCCTTCAAGACCAAAAAAGTCCTATGTTTAATCTTCAAAGCTGACATGAAAAAAAAATGGTGAAAGTAATAACAACTGAAAGGGAAAATGAAGTTGTGATATCAAAATGTTTCTGAAGATGATATACACTGGAATGCTCTAGATAATATACACTAATTTCAACCAGATAAAGCACACATAATATTATATTTTTTTGAGGGAAACACATACTATTATATTATTTATATTCCATGACTAGTAAGTCCAATATTCTATCCCGATAACTAACATGGACAAAGTGAAATAACAACTAAAGGGGAGAATGAAGAACAGGTAAACAAACAGGAGAAGACAAGGCCACTTTAATGGACAAATATGAACCTAGGTACGCAAGAGGGTTCCATAATATAACTCTTTTGTATTGAGTTTTAATAAACGGAACAAATACTTGTGACCTTTTTATGACACAATGTATATTGGCCATTGATAAAATCTATAAACAAACTCAAATGCAAGCAAGATAACAGCCAAAAAGAAAGACTCAACAGCTTAAGCAGCTAATTTACTCGTTTTCCATGAACAGCTCCCCATAAGTAATTCCATCAGCATATTGAATTTTCTTAAAATGGTCAACTCCCTGCAATTTAGTCAGGTTCGGTCAAGTGGACAATAGAAAACAAACAAAAAGGAGAGGAGATAACAAAACTAACCTGTAGTAACATGAGAATACGCTCCAGACCATAAGTTATTTCAACAGATATTGGCGACAATTGAACACTTCCAGCCTAAAGACAGAGATGTACATGTGTGGCAACTAATTAGAAAGCATTAACACATAAACACCTGGAATAAAATGTAGCATTGTTTTACACCGTCTAGAACAGGGAACCTGCTGGAAGTAGGTAAACTGCGTAATCTCCATTCCGTCCATCCAAATTTCCCAGCCCAGACCCCAAGCACCAAGCACCTAAAATAAATTTCCCGTCAGCGTAAAAAAAGAGCATAGCTAAAAATCCAGAGTACAGCTCAGTGTTATTTTAATTATTATTATTTTTTTAACTAAAAGTAAACTTGTGTTGCATTCAGAAAACAACACCAAAAAACCTATTGAGAAAATATGGGTGTGTGTACCGCAAAATAATAATAAATAATAACAAGGTAAAATTCCATCTCACTAGGATCTTATCAGAAGTACTAAAAATCAACATAGATGAATGATAATATATTACCGGGCTCTCCCAGTTGTCTTCTACAAACCTAATATCATGTGCACGAACATCAATACCTGTCATTCAAATATTGCCCATCCTAGAAGTTAAAATGGTGAATGACACGAAAACACATTGTACACATTTTAAGCAGAACTCAACATTTAAGTTATAAACCACAATAGGAACATCTTATCAGAACGCAGAATACGTTTAGTTATGATCACCCAAAAAAAGCATATGTTTAATCATACACCACAATAGGAACATCTTATGTTGTCAGAAAATTTATTACAGGGATTGGTGTTTAGTTTCTAAAAATCATAAATCTTGATTGTATGGTACTTGTCTCTGAAAGGTCTCAAATCCAATGTTTTTTGAAGTAACATTTGCAAAATCTCGTGAATAGCATTATACAAGAGTGCATGAGACATTATCAGTGAACCTATCATTATTAATTCTCCTTTTTTTTTTGGTGGAGATATCTGAATTCTCATCTTTGACAACTGAAAATATGGTTCGAAGGAATATAGGGCATCTGAGTGATGACTCTAGGGAGGAAAAACGAGAGGAAAAAAAAAAAACATCATACTCCCATACAAACCAATATAATCTTAAACATGCTCAATCACTAATTTTGGCATGTATATATATTCATATATATCACATTCTGTAATTTCAAAAAAGCTTCAAGTACCAGTTGATCCATTACTAATATACAGTATGCAACAATCATTACTTAAAGAATCTCCAATTAGAGGCCCTCAAGCTCTGGTTGGAACTTAAAAATATAAATAATGCTAGTACACATAATGTCCAGAATAAGCAACCCCATTCTCTCGTTTAAAATTTTCTTCCTCTTTCCCCAAAATTTAGAACCGTCAAGTACAATAATCTTTTCACATCTAGCTGACGGCCCTTAATATGGTTAATAGATATCCAAGAATACACACGTAATGCTCCCATTTGCTGAGAAAAAGATATTATCCAAGAATACACACGTAATGCTACCATTTGCTGAGAAAAAGATATCGAGATTTTGTAGATTCTTTTTTCAGTCACTTAAAGAAACTAGTTCAAAATTTAATATCTAATGACCCTTTTGCATTTCAAGAAGAGAGTAAAGAAACAGATCCACTTATCCATCATCAAAAAGTTGCAAACTCAACGCCCGAAATTTCTAAAAGTTGCCAAGGCACAATAAGGACAATAAGAGACAATGTAGACCGTACAAATAGGACCTATACAAAAATATATTATATTATATAAAAATATGAAATAAACCATTTCAAATATTCAACAAATAAAATGTTGAGTCACAACCTATCGCTGATAGGCTGCCGATGAAAAGGTCTTGGGAATTTCCTGGATCAGGTTTTAATATAACCTGAAATAGATACAAACGAGAAACTCAAAACTAGAATTCCCACTCAGCTTCATGTATCACCAAAATTATAGATCAATACATGAAGTTATACTTACCTGAAATTGAGTGTGTCTTTGGAGCCTATTTGGGTTTTCACCATAACGACTGTCATCTGGCCGAATACTAGGCTCCACATACCTGCAACCAAAAGTTTGATGTAGCACTTAACCACTTACACTGGTAACTTTATAAAGGCCAGCACTGCCATCAATGCAATCATCACACACAAGACAAAAAAGGAATACTTAGTCTTTTTCCTCCATTTGACAAGAAATGGTAGTTCATTGAATTGACAGGTGTAACTTAGCTAACCAAACTCTGTTTTAAGATTTCGGCATAAGAGCAAAGAAATAAAACAAATATCAGATTAATGCAAAATAAAGGAAAACCTAAACCATAGCTATGGACAATAACCTGAAATAAATATATCCAAGAAAAACATCTGGAGATGGGAACCAAACATCTAGCTTGTATAAGCATAACAAGTTACCCTAGTCAACAAACTTTGTACACCGAATAACATCATTTCTGCCTAAAACCCTACAATTGACGTAAGACTAAAAAAAACGTGCACAAAAAAAAGGTGCAAGTACCTTTGATTATTGGATTGTAGATAGGCTTATTTTAAACTTACATACAAGCCCCCAAAAAGTATGATTTGTTGCGTTACTCTGTTCCATAGGCTAGCATGTCTTAGCAACAAAAGAAGAGCTTGGCGTTGCATATTGGTCTTCAGTCATAGATTATCTTATATTCTTTAGAAAGCAGCACATAGGTTGCCACATACATCTAAAAGATCAGAGGTAAAGCATATGAAACTGCAAGAGATGGTAACACTATCTCTCAGAAAATCAATACATACTTAGTAAATTCAATACCGATTGTAATTGTTACAACAAACTTACGCAACATTCCACGGTTCAGGACCAAGAACCCTTAGGTATGTCAAAGGATTCATTGTCCCAGCACCAACCTGATCAATACAACGGAAACTCAGTAAGAAAAAAGTCATGAACATTAGTTTACATAGGTAGCAAAAGATAAAAATTGCACTAACACCCAAGTACAACTTTTTGAGCAGAAACAGCATAGACACAACAAAGACACTATAAGTTACTTTAGATTCCATTAATATGCAACAAAGACGAACAATTTTCTAAATAACTATGCTAGTATCTCTCTGCATCTTTGTGGAAAAATATTTTCAATCAAGATAAATTTAAGAAGAAAAATGGTTTATTATAGCATTAGAAATAATCAATGAATAAACTAGGGGAAAAATAACCTAAACAAGAATGACGTTTACCTCAGTGTTGCTACATTGCATTATGGCACATCCAACTGATGCCCAATACTCCTGTATCATCAATGATTTGGCATGCATAAATATTCTGAAAAGATAAGGTGTTCAGTCATGACAAATTTCTTAATTAACAACAAGCCATCTTTGTATGATCGAAGCAGCACATTTAGTAGATTCATTTAACTTCAATTACTTTCATTATACCTATCAACAAAATCTTTATAAAAATGAGAGAGAGAGAGAGAGAGCTTTTTTAGAACTTATCACATCAGCTTGCTATATTACTATGTCTTACAATTCCCTATCAACAAAGTAGGCGAAATAAAATCGAAGTTAAGTGTGTAAACGTGAAGGTCGATTTTAACAAACAGTTGGAAGTGATGAATGGAATGGCTATGGTGGAAGAGTGACCTGGAGACGTTGAATTGCTTGCTGGAAAGTGAGAACTGAGGGATTCTGGGGCTCGGAATTAGAATCCTTAGAGGAGTGCTGAGGAGCGGCGGAGGTACTAACCGCAGAGACGGAAGTTCCGGAGAATCGGCGGCGGAGAGCGGCGTCGAGGTGGCAATGGAAGCGGTTAGAGTGGAAGAAGGATAGCTGAGAGGGCTGCGGTCTGAGAACCGATATCACTAAAGGGAACGCCAGAATCGCCATGGCTCTTCTTTTCAAGCTCGTGGGAGAGAGAGAGAGACAAAGAATTAAACAAAAGTGAAGAGAAATGAAACAAAACAAAAAAAGAGCAAACTTTTAGAGAAGAGAAGTAGCAAAATGGCCAAAACATACAACGTTGTCTGATACCTGGAATTGCAAATGTTGCTTTGCCGGCAGTAGCTAATGGAATAGCCGCTGATTCTGCGGATGACAGTCAGTCGTGGTCACTTCGTATTCTATGGACTTCCAATCCTCAGGATAAAGGAAAATTATCCGAAAACACCCCCTATATATTTTGCCTAAATACTAATTTTACCCTTCTCATTATTCAAATCTCAGAAAACATGCCATGTATTTAAAAAATCATACTCAAAACACCCTATATATTTATAAATTCAGTCACAAAATGGCCCCCTAAAGAAATTACATTTTTAATTATAAAATCAGTCACAAATACAATTTAAAACATTAATGAACAAAAATAATAAACAAAATCAATCTTAACAAAAAAAACTAAACGTCTAATTGTTTTATATATTTAAATACAAATTATTGATTCTGCTATAGTATTTTTCTTTAATAAACAAATTTTAAACGTTAAAACTAAAAATCATAAATTGAGTATACTTTTTAAACATACCACCCCAAACTTGTTTGGTAAGAAATGGCTAGCATTTATTAGAAATGTTCTAAACAAATTTTAAGAAAAACATGTCTCGTTCGTTTTGCTGATTCGAGTTTTACTACAGTAAAAAACTCTCACAAACATTCACATCTAACTTTTTTACTACAGTAAAAAGCTCTCACATAAAATCACATCTCAACTCGAATCAGCGAAACGAACGAGGCCACAATTTTAGAAATAATCTGAGCACCGTTTCTGAAATATATATATATGAATTGTCTTTAATCTGGTACTAAATAAAAGCGGGGTATATGTATATTTTTTTTAAAATATGTATATTTTTTTAAAATATATATATTTACTCTTAAAATATATATAATATAAAGAGATACTTATAATTTATTTATATATAATATAAAGAGACACTTATAATTTATTTAAACCCTTATATATTTTAAAATAAAATATATATTTTAAAATATATATATATATATATACATGTAACATACGTCGTTCAGTTTCAATAGTACCGGACTTGAGACTTTACTTCAATAAATATATATATATATATATATGAATTGTCTCTGGTCAGGTAAAGATGTCAAAAGGGCCGTATCGGGCCGGCACTGGCCCTTGACCCTAGTCCATAAGGGTTAGGGCCGGGCCTGGGCCTAGGCCCTTCATGGGCCGGCCCTGGCCCTTTTAATTTTTTTTCAATATTTAATTAAAAAAAATGTCATATGTTTCAAAAAGATGTGATTTTATTAAATTGAGATAATACAAATAAGTACACATAAATGATCAACTCGTTAAAAACCTTATCAAGTAAATCTCGTGAGGAGATCGGGACAAAACCTTAGCGAAGGAAAAAAGGGTGCAGTATTCTAGGATAAGTAAATTACAAAACCTAAGTGCTTCTAGAAGATTCTGTTATGTCTAAACTCAATCTTAACCTAATTTTCTTAATGCACTTGAGTTTCACTTATGATTAGCAATATTTTTAGGAATTTTTTTTTATTTCAAATTTGATGACAAAAAAAAAAGTAATATATCATATGCCCCAAAAATATGTGATTTTATTAAATTAATATGAATAATTATAAGAAAATGATTGGTTGACCAGACGGTATAAGTCGGCCAATTGGCCTTAAAATGCCTCAAACCTCATTAAAATTTCATGTCGCGGGCCTGGCTCTTTGCGTGCCTAGGACGTGCCTAGTCCTTCGCGTGCCTGGGCCTTGGCGGGCCTGGGCTGTGGGCCTCAAACATGAGGCCCAGCCCAGGCCCTTTTGGCGTGCCGTGCCGGCCCGGCCCATAACAGTACAAGGCTGGGCCGTGCCACTACTGTAGCGGGCTGGGTCGGGCCGTCTATGGACGGCCCGGCCCAATTGACACCTCTATGGTCAGGCACTTGTATAATTGTATATAAATTGTGTATATTTATACGTAAATCATGTATATTTACATGTAAAGTTGTGTATATTTAACATGAAATACAACAAATTAATCAATATACATATTTTCATGTTATGTGTCACTAATTGCTATAAAAAAACATGTTTTGAATATTAATATACATTATCGTTTCTTATAACTTAACATACATGATTTATATGTAAATATACACGATTTACATGTAAATATATACGATTGTATAATTATACAAGTGCCATATAAATATACACAACTTACCTGTAAATATACACAATTTACTGTAGATATACACATTTCATACAAAAATATACAAGTATCATTCTGATAAGACATTTTCTAAGTGCATGATCAGAGACCCTTGCCTATATATATATATTATTTACATTTTTATATACAAAACGTAATTCATGAAAACGCAGCGGATTCCGTCTAAAAGCAAAATTTGAGTGGTCTCTCTTTCTCTGCCCCCTTCTCTCCCGTCGTTGTTAATGGCGGCCAAAGAAGAAGAAGTGGCGGCAGAATTGGAGGCCGTGCAAGCCGTGTACGGCGACGATTGTGTTGTTCTTGATTCTTATCCTCCCCATCTCCACCTCCACATTAACCCTCGCACCGCCGATGTCACTTCCCAACAGGTTCTCTTCTTCTTCTTCTTTTCTTTTTTGGTTTTCAAATTCAACTAAAGTCTTACGAAATGAATATTTGCATTCCTTTTTGGCTTATTCATTGTAGTTTGTTGAAGCTGTTATCAGTATACGAGCTGGTTCGAAGGTATCACTTGATCATATACAATTTTATTATGTGAATTTTATTTTCCGATTTGTGGTTTAATTTCTTTCTTGTTCTTTTTTTTTTTTGGGTGATAGTATCCCAACGAATCACCTCAGATTAATCTTATAGAGTCAAAGGGTCTTGATGAAGAAAGGCAAAAGTTTTTAGTGACTTACATCCGAGACAAAGGGAGTGAACTATATTCTTGTTTAATGCTCGTGGCTCTTTGTGAGGTAAACTCATTTCTGTCATTGGAATTTGACTTGGGAAATCATTTCAGTGGGGTATTATTTGAGAAATTGATGGATTGAAACGATGTAATATAACTAAAGATTTTGGAGTTATTCAATTATAGATGATAGATAAATTAATGCAATCCCACATTGATTTTGGGCAGAAAATGCGTCCTTGAAATCATTAATAGAGTCTTGTTTTATATATATATATCTACATATATATATATATATATTTACAAGTCAACTAGAAATCATGTTTTAAAACTCCCCTTGTTGAAGGTTTTAACAAAACTTCTAAAATATAGGGAAAGGTAGAACATGCTTTGAAATATAGGATAGAACGCAACATTTCAATAAAATACGTGGGTGGTTGGGTTGAATTGGGTTGTCTATAAAGCCTTATGCATTGTGTAGAAAATTGGCTAAATGAGTGGTTTGAATGTGTTTCTAGGAAGCTGTGGAGAGACTCTCTTTAATGAATCACCCGGATGGTGATTGTCCATTGTGTTTGTATTCTTTAGTCTCAGAAGATGACCAGAACAAGAATTTGCCGTTTATGAAGTTGATGTCCTGTTTTCATTGCTTCCATTGGTATTGCTAGGCTCTAATTTCTCTGCTTACTCTATCTTTCATCGCTTGCAGATTTTAGAGCTGTAATTTGTTCTTCATTCTTTTTTCTCTCTTTTTTTATTGTGGCAGTGAGTGTATTAGTAGGTGGTGGAATTGGCTTCAAACAGAAAAGAAAACAAATCCTAGTGGTTCGTCAAGTTCAACTATGCATCCTGCTAGAGACAATGACTTTAAAGAAGGTATATATGCGTCACAAGTTATTGCAGCATTACATTAGGTTATCTGTATAATGAGAAGCAAATGAGGTTAGTTTGTTAGTCCGAAAACATGATTAAAATGATATTAATAACTTGAAACGTTTGGGGAAAGTAGAGTTTATTTGTTGTTTCATTGTCACCTTGCAACAGTTTTATGGTTGAGATTGTTTCAAAAGGATTCAGTTGGTTCTTCTAGGAAGGTAGAATCTCTATGGTGGTAAAACCCGTGACATTTCTTTTTTTTTTTTTAGCTGGAAGTGGAAAAACCCGTGACATTTCTTTTTTTTTTTTTAGCTGGAAGTGGAAAAACCCTTGCATTGTACAAACAAAAGGGCAAAACCAATGTGAAAGTGTGTGGTATTAGCTTTTTTGTTAGTGATCTGGATCTAAAGGAATGGCATGATTTTAAGACCAGAGTACCTCTTGTCCTCTTCTGTTGTATTGATTATTCCATCAATAAGAAAAAGACCAGGAACTGAATTTTTCATTATGTTTGAACATACTGAGCATCTCTTTAGGCTTCAACAATAAAAACTTTAAAAGGCCCGTTTGGTTCACGCGTTTAAACCCATGATTCTGATTCTGCTACAATGTTTCTCTCACAAAAAATTTGAATAAAAAAAAGTTCCTATCAATGGATTCTCTCACAAAATTTGAATTCAGAATCAAAATAACTTACTTGAACCCATGAACCAAATGGGCCTTAAAGATCATTTGCTTTCTTTCATCCTTCTAACTTTGTTAGATGTACTGGGTCTTTGATTGATTCGGGCCTGTTCTGATTTTATTTTGTTTTTATTTCTAGTTTTGTAATCTTTCAGATGATTTGAAAGCACCTTGTCCTCTTAAGTTCTAGTCATTTTAATAAAGCTTTCCGGTCTGTTATATACACACAGACACATACGTAAGACACACACATATGAATGTATGTTATATATAATATATACACATTTGTATACATACGTTTGGAGATATGCATATACATACATACGCACAGTAGTAGAGCGAGGAGGATACTTTATTAATGAAAGAAACAAACCCTAAAATACAATTGAGTAGTAAATCAAGGAACTACTCAGACCTCCCCCCTCAACCCACACATCATATGTTATTTGTCTCTGTATGTATGTATGTATGTATAATCACGTGAAGGGAAAAAAGATGTTTTTAGATTTAGATGCTATCCTATTTTCTTGATTTCTCATGCATTTTCTGCCAGACTGAAAACTAAATGATGCATTTACTCTATGAAACATCTATTTTGCAAGGTTTTATTTTCTATTTCTTTTATTAAAACTTTGAATTAAAAAAAAAAAAAAAAAAAAAAAAAAAAAAAAAAAAAACATTTTACGAACTTTTTGTCGTTTTCACATCGAAAAAATACCACAAGAGACTAATTCATTGTTGTTGGACATACATGGAGATGTAGAAGAGAATATGGGAAACTGCCCAGTTTGTCGAAAGGTTTTCCATACAAAGGACTTCGAGCATGTGCTTGACTTGGTTGGCTCTCTTCCCTCCCAATTGGTATGTCATCTGACTCATCAGCATGGAACACGTGGTAAAATTACTTGTGTATAGATCAGTATGCTGCATGGGATTCATAGTGTTTTATTTTTTAACCATGGTATTGATGCACCATATGACTGATGAAACATTAATTCACCATAGGATTCAAACTAACCCTCTCGTAGTTATCAGGCTATTCAAGGGGAGTTATTTTTTGCCCTGTCATGAGGTTATGTATTGCATTGACTGATTTACATAGGTCGTGTCTGTTATACCAAGTGACAAATAATAAAGATGTTAACGTATCTGCTACTGCCTTGGCCTAATTTTTGTCTGTCAAATTATGAAAAATGTAAATGAGCGGCCATTAGGAAATAGGAATTACCTAGTTTGTGTTTTAGATACTAACACAATTATTCTATTCTGAAGTTTACTTTTGTGGATTCCCATTTTGTTGCGTATAAAACGTGATTGGTGCGAATGTGTTTGAAAGACCTCTATTTGTAAACTGCAAACTTGTTTTTTACTTTTGAAGTCGTGAAAGCCAATGACTACATTTTTTTGGTTTCAGAGTTCCGATGCAAATGAAGTTGAAGAGAGCAAGAACCTCGTTTATTCTGATTCTGAGAATATTAGAAGACAGAGATTTGAGGCCACGTTGAAATTACAGCAAGAAATCAGAGGTCTAATCGAACCTAGAAGAGATGTTCGCATTTCACCCGGCATGTATCTTCCGCAGCCAACCACGACACCCGCCGATGTAGAAACCAAAGAATCCAATGAGCAGCAACAGAGAGACCTCCCGTCGGCCTCTGAAATGCATGCTAGTTCCTCTCAGAGACGTAACACTAGCGAGCACAGGAATCCTGGCCTGTGGAGGAAGAAGAGAATGCATAATCCGAGAAAACCAGTTAAACAGTGGATCCGCAAAGAAAATATGTCAGCAGAATGAGCATTTTAATTGCGGTTATTTTGGGAGTTTTTCTAATCCTTCTCCCATCAGTAATTTATATCATAATATGTTAGTCAAGGATGGTATATGAACAAAATGCATAGAAATGTCCAAAAAGGAATAATAAAACAAAAAGGAAAAAAAAAAAAAAGCCAAAGAAAAAACTCATCGATCCATTTAAATTCTACATTTCTTGCTGTAGCTTGTATAGAGGCAAGCAAAGCTGGCTTCCGTATCCTGCGTTTTTCCTACCAAATTTTCAGGTGCGGAATTCAATAAATTTGGGATCATGATGTTGTTTAGCAAATATTTCAATATTACAAAGTGCACATTTTGCTCTTTGTTAAATAAATACGTAGAGCTGTTTAACTTTAATTTTTATGAGAAAAAATATTATAACAAAAAAAGTTTGAACAGTTTGAAGTTATGCAACAAATGGTAGGAGTGTACCAAAACATAACCAACGCTCAGATTTCCCAGTTTAACTATTCTTCAAAAGATTGAGAAAGAATTAACTATTCTCTCGTCGCCCCCTAACCAATGCTCAGATTTCCCAGTTAGCATATATTTCGAAATAATATTGCAAGTATCAGGCTCTTTTTATTTGCTTTATATATTTCAAAAGAGAGTAGTTGATGACTAAAGGAAAGGCAGCATTTCCATTTATTAACTGACCTCCGTTGCAATAAATTTACAAAGCTAGAGTCATACAAATTTTTCGTCGAACTGAATCGATTAGATAATAACAATAAGGGGTTAATTTCAATTTTCGCCCCTGAACTATGTAACTTGTCCCATTTTGTCACATAAATTTTGAAACGTGACAAATCACTCTCTTAAACTTTACAACTTGTCTCATTTTAGCCCTTCCATCACAAAAACCGTTAAATCCTAACGGAATTAGACATGTGAGCCTCACATGGTCATCAGAACTGAATTTTGCTCCTATTCTCTCTTGGCAACTGCATTGAATTGAATTTGCTGGAAGTGGAAGTCAAGTAATGGACCCCAATGTGAAGATAAAGCCTTCATTTATTGAGTAAAGGCTGAAACTTTTTATCTGATGAAGACATTCCAAGTTGATTTTTCCTGTTTTGTTTATGAGGGTTTTTTTTTTCATTTAATCCACAAGATTCACACTTGTAAAATAGAAAACATCTGTAAAAAAGACAAACTAGAAAAGCTTATACAGTAGATATGGAGCTAAAGGGCAAAGTTGTTATTTATCTAATTCCGTTAGTTAGATTTACCGATTTTTGTGGTGGAAGGGCTAAAATGAGACAAGTTGTATAGTTCAAGAGTGTGATCCACCACGTTTCAAAATTCAGGGACCAAAATGGGACAACTTGTATACTTCGGGGGCCAAAAGTGAAATTAACCCTAACAATAAGATAACCGATTACTTTTGTTTTTCGAGTAAGATTAACTTGATTAAATTGTCATTAACTTGTTAGAGTGTACATGATTTATAATATTTATTATTGAGATTAATTGTACATTATTTATTATTTAAAATTATATTATTGGGTTTATTATTATTCTTTGAAGAGAATATATCATATCATGCTAGTTAATTATAGGCTATAAATGTTATATCATATCTATGTTAATTATAGGACAATAGGATTTTAAATTGTGTATTTAGTTAGGATAATTTTTTTTATGTTTAGTAGATGATTTTGAATTGAAGAATACGTTTGTCTTAATATGTTTTAAAATTTTAATTGAATATGTCTTATTATTTTAATTTATCCATAAATACTTTAGTGATTATAAATTTAATTGAGAGTTGATGATTGATGAATGGATATTGAGATTTCTAATTTCTTTTTTCTTGAGTTATTTTTTTTATTTAAATCTTCCGTTTTCTCCCATGTGATTTTATTTCTCCCTCTCTAGTTCTATTTCTCTACCTAAATTCTATCTATATATATTTTTATGTCATGGTCTTATATTAATGGCTCTTTTATTTACAAAATTGAATAATATTAAAGACACTGACTTAAATTTCAATTTTTGTATACCAACTTATGGTAGATGAGTTGTCATTTAATATTGATATGTGTTTAAAACATTGTCACGTCAATTAGTAATGAGAGATTGCATCTATTAATAAAAGAAAATGGTAACTCACATATCACATCAGTTGATACACAATAATTAAAATTTGAGTTGGTGTCCCTAATATTACTCTACAAAATAATACCCTACATTTTTATTATCAAAAGATTATACCTTGTATTTTGGACTGTATTACATTTCGCCCTTCACATTTTAGAGTTGTACTCAATTCATACAATTTTCTTAATCAACGCATGCTCAATTTTGACCAAAAAGACCTAAACACCCTTAACGTAAAAAAGAAAAAGAAAAAGTAATAATATAAAATTCAAAAAAGTGAAGGGTATTTAGGTCAATTTGATAGTTAAAATCAATCTTTGACCGAAAAAAATGTAATGATTTAACATGAATTTAAAGTGTGAAGATATGGCCCCATTTATTTCGCTGATTCGAGTTTAAAATTTGAGTTTTGTTACAGTAAAAAGCTCTCACAAACAATCACATCTAACTTTTTTGTTACAGTAAAAAGCTCTCATATAAAATCACATCTTAACTTGAATTAAAAATTCAAATTAACGAACTAAACAGGCCCTATAGTTCAATATAATTCAAGAATAATGAATGATTTTTTTTAATCACTTTTTAAAACTCAGGTATAAACCAAAATGAAAACCACGTACGATTTTCTAACAACTTTTTTAAAACTCAGGTATAAAAATGAAAAGATCCTATATTAATTGGTGTTGAATCTCGTCATGTCTATAATAACAGAATGAAGAGGAAGACGACATTGGAGGTCATGTCAATTCGGTGGAAAGAAACATTTTGTTTGCATGATTGACAAGTTGACCCATTTCTTGCTTTTAATGGGAAAAGGACAAAACTTTTGGATTTGTGTGTAATTCAGGGTAGCTTTACTATAACAAATAGTGGAATAAGTTTTGCATGAAAAATCATCACATTTTCACATTAGGAAATCACAATATATAAGGTGATTTCCTCCTTTGTTTTATGAGCTCCTTTATTTTATAAGTTTAAATTAATATTAAAAAATTTTTTTACGATATTATTTTCTCTTATATTTATGAATCAAACGAGTTCAACATAATTTGCTAATTAATCACGTGGCTCACGTCTAGCTAACGTTACTTTTCCTGTCGCGTCATCACAATTCTCAATAGTACTAGGAACACTTGGCATGACTCAATTGATCCTGTGGATGTGTAGTAAATTTGATTAGTTAGCTTTAATGAGCGTTAGTAATTGTCGTATTTACATCTATTGATTCACACACGCACAAAAAATTCACATACACGTGTTAATTATATTTTTATGCATGCATGCATGCAAAAGTATTATTAGGTAGTAAAACATAAGCATTTATTATTAGTCTTAAATATAGTACCATGCAAATCACGCGATTATATTTAAATAATAAACCACCCTCGAATTGTTTGAACAACACCTTTAATTTGTAAGCTTTTTTCTCTCTTTTGTTTTTCTTTGACAAAAATGCAGATTTTTTTTTCCTGCGCCACAAAGCCTTTGTCCTGAATGTGAAATTCCTTTATGAATCGTGTTAAAGCAAAGTGAAGCAATAATTTGTCAATTGTGAGAAAGAAAAGTGGTTCTTTTCGAAATTGTGTCCAATATATTTTTCCTTCCAAAAAGAAAAGCGGATATATGTTTGTTGAAAAGATTAATACAAATAATTTTTAATTAGCTAGCATTGGGAATTGTGTGTTATTCCTTCCGCCCTTAGTGCACTTTGCTTTTCATTCTCTGAGATCTCTATAAATGCACACACATACGTACAGCTAGGTATCTATCTCTCTTTCGGTATTTATTTCGTAAATTTGATGATCACTTTACCAGCTGCCTGGGGACAAAATCATAGAGGCGTCATCTAAAACTTATATCTCAAATTCTGAGTGATGATCAAGAGACAGATCGACGATTTCAGTTTATAGAAGGAGAGTGTTCATTTATGAATAAAATACATATAAGTGTAACCAAACACATATATATATATATATAGAACGTCTTTAACTTATAATAGAGATGTCCATGTGTATATAAATCGTTGTAGATGGATATTGTAAAATAATACTGCTTGACCCCATGGAGAGTACCTTTTTCATGTATTATGAGTACTTTTTCATATTTATTCATCATCTAATAAATAAGAGTACTTTTTCACATTTATAGATTTTCGAAAGTAGTATACTCTTTCTAATAAATAAGAGTAGTTTTTCATATTTATGCATAGGTACTGGCCATGAGCCCTATATATATGTATAGATATTATAAACTCTGGACCATTCCTACATGTCTGAATCATTGGGCCAGATAATGCATACATAATATAACTTTCTCCAGTAGATATGTCTAGGAAATTTCCCCACTTATTTATAATAACGACCCGAGTGCAATATAGTACGTAGCAGGTAATTAAATAGTTAAAACACAATCTCCGTAGCATTAGCTATCAACATTCTAAACTAAAAAAACGGTGCTTTACTGATTATGCTGAGTACAATTTATGTCGCACAATATACAGTGTACAAATGGGACACACTTTCTATTAAAGTTATTAGATATTAACTCTTGCATTCAGAGCCTCTCTGGTTTGTTTGCTCAGTTATCAAATATTGCTCTAGAACTTGCCATACGCCGACAAAAGGAAAAAGAAAAAAAAAAAACTACTAGAGATGCGCCTTTATGGTTTGAATGGGCACTTTTTTATTTTTTATTTTTTTTATAATTGCATCAACTTCAATCATGTTGGATACTTGTCTCACTATCTAACTTTATTTTCTCATCAACTTCATACTTAATTTTGAGCTTTAGAAAAGTTTTCTATATTGTGTTAGCTTGACTTTGTGAGCCGTTCAAATGATCATTCATATGTGATTCATTAATTTTCTCCCTCACCCATACTGTACACAGCTCCAACTCCATAAATAGAGACGTATAGATACACTACATATATACATGAAAATATATACATTGTAGAGTCAGAAGAAGAAAGGAAACTTCTAATGCTCTGGGTATAGCTGTCACTAAGAGGGGCAGCACATTTAAGGCTGCAACTAGTATCCAAAGCTTATATCAAAAAATTACTATCCAAAGCAGCCATTGAATGCCAGTATAAAACAAAATAAGATCATAAATAAACTTGCCACATCATCGTATAAATGCAATAAATTTTGCTGACTGTTGGGGGCTGTTGTTTCAATAAATTTAGTTGTGGAATTTTCCTATATCAAATCATTTTTACTTTCAACGTACGTACGGTTTGAACTAGATCATAAGTGGTCCATATAAGTTGGGCCCTAAACTTCTCTTGGGTACCGGCCAGCCCATGTGAAAAGGTCTTTG